ATGTTCATGACAGGTGTTATGTCATGTTTATGACGGTGTCATGACAGTCTTATTCAACCCCCTTCAAATAAAGTGCTACCGAAGTTTGCGACAATGTGAATGTACAAAAAGATGAAATAAAAAAAATATTTTTGCACAAATACAGACATTTTAGGCCAATGTTCTTGAAGACAGAAGAAGCATTTTAAAAATAATTGTAAATAGAAGTCATCGTGCATATAAAAGTGCCCAATGACTTTTAAATCTAATTCTATCTGATTTTGCTTTTGCTAGAATCTAGAAACTATCTTGAGATAGAGATTCCCTGGTGGAAATCATCTGCAGTCTGCAGAATAGCTCACCATAGATAGAACGTTTCTAGCTCTTTTATTGTCTTTATGTTATTTCTGAGCTGGCTTTTGCTAAGCTATTACACAGTTTGTAGCAAGAGCTTTCTTTCTCCTCCAGCTAAAACTTGAATAAATGTTCAGGTATGAACAAGGATGTGCTCTCCTTCCTTTTTCTTCTACACAAAAAAGTCCACCTTAGATTCTTCACACACTGCAGGATCCCTCTTTTTAACATTCTGTCTCTCTTACATCTTCCTCATCACATCCTCTGAAGTGCTCTGCACACACACACGCACGCACGCACACACGCATGCACGCTCGCGCATGTTTGTGTTGCTATCTTTGTGGGGACTTTCCATCGACTTCCATTCATTTCTACAGCCTAAACCTTACCTTTACCCTTTTCCTAACCCTAACCAAAACTCAATTCATACTTTAGTCCTAACTCTGACCCCTGACCCAAAAACAGGGTTTCCTCTTGGGGGGATCAGGCTCCGGTCCCCACAAGGAGCAATTGGTCTCCACAACGTAGTATATGTCAGGAAAATCCTCCCCACAAGGTATTACAAACAAACACGCACACACACACACACACACACACACTTTTTGTGTTAGGGGACTTTCAAAATCGTGACTTGACTGAAACCCCACTTGCATTCAAGCACGCACACACATGCAAGTGGACGCAAACACACGCGCATACACACACAGTTTCTAACATCGTGACTGCAGCAGCTGAACCCCTTGGCATAGATACATAAACACAGGCTCATTAGCTTGTCAAAGTTGGTGTGTGTAAGTGGATGCGTCTGGTTCCTGTTGGAGCAGGGCAGATCAAACTCAGTCTGTATTTAAGTTTTCATCTCTCCACACGACAAAGATCATCTGCCTGCAAATTCATAACCATCTCCAGCCAGCTGATATCAGCATGACATGAACCATTTTGTCTGACATGGGACAGGTACTAAATAATTAATGGTAGTTAAATGTTGATGACTTTTGATTAATTCAAATAGGAGGCAGTGTTGATACACACTGCCTCCTAATGGTCCTTATCTGTCTTGGCATTGATACCTCAACATTTTTCAGCTTGCGAAGATATTCGTTCTCTTTGAACTTAAGTATTTGGTGTTTTTAATTTGGAAAGTTTGTGATAGACACAAAGTAGGTTGTAATGATGAAGCCATGAGAACCTGGTGCATGTGCCTTTTTTTGCTCTTTGTTTTCAAATAAACATCTGAAAAGTGTGGTGTGCATTTGTATTCAGCTTCTCTGAGTCAATGCAGCTGTAATCCTTGCAGCTGCAAGGCTTTTGGGCCGTTCCTCCTCTAGCTTTGCACAGACTAACATTTTTGCCCATTTTTCTTTACAGTATAGCTCAAGTTCATTAGATGAATGCTTGGAGACCGACTTTGAACAGCAGTTTTCAAGTTTAACCATGGATTTGACTGGACCGTTTTGACATGCTTCGATCAGGTCATTGATCTGCTGGAAGGCAAACTTCTGCTCCAGTCTCATTTTCTTTTAGACCAACAGTGCTACAACCTAACGTAATCAAATTAATTACAAAAATAAGAAATGGTCTAAACTCCAAAATATTAAAGAAAAAAACAGAAAAAAGTAATTCAACTAAAGTCTGTAAACAAAACAATTTAGAAAAATAGGCAAAAATAATTAGAATGTGCCCGAGGCACATAACACCGTCTCTCATGAGCATGCGTGGTTAGCATATTGCACATAGGCCACAAAGTTTGGGTTGGATTGCTTTTTTCAAACTAAAAAGCAATCCAACCCAACCTCTTTTTTCAAACAAATTTTTGAAGAATTTTGCATTATATTTTAGATAGATTTCTGTCTTATCTCCTATCAAAAACAAACTTTCTGGTTGAGTGAAAATCCTTTAACATCTAAATATGCGTGAGGTAACGAATATTTTATATATCATCTACTGAGATGATGAGCATGGAAGGATGCTTTTTATCGTGTCCCCTCATAAGAAATGAGTTATATGTTTTAGCCCTCATCTCAATTAAAGCTTTATAGTCACTTAAACAGAAATAGTGATTCTGGAGCCTAGTAGAATCACTATTCTACTAGGCTGTTGTTTCATCCACAGGTTTTAAGCTATGAACTATGATTCCAGGAGGCATGCCTCTGTTGAGGTTTTAAATTTTACCCAAACGCTAATGTTTGTCTGTGTGCCAGTTCAACACTGAAGTTTACCATAAATTGCCTGCACTGTAAACAAGCGTCCTACATTGCAAAGAGAGAACAAGTTAGATGTTAATGTTAATTTAATATTTGGAAGCGTGACCAGCATGGACTGAACGGCTTCGTTCACTTCCTCTGCTGCCATTGCTCTTTAGCTAAAGGCAGACTGCAATTCTAAAACAGTGCAGAAAATCAATGTCATTGTTTACAACTTCTCTGTTTTCTGATTGGCCTAGTTGAAAATCTGAGTGAAGGGAAGAACGCCCAGACTGTGCTGTATGGGAGAATTGTTTTGAGTGAAATTGCACAGGAAGGCAATTCCAGACTAGTGATTCTATAAAGATAGCTGTTATTCAGCATGCTAAACAGTTGTGATCCTCCACAGAGAATAATGTGCTTAGAGTTTACTTGGGTTCTCTCCAGGAATCTTCACTCAGTCCAAAATGTAGCTTAAGTGGCCATACTGCATTGTCTTTATGTGTGAGTGTTTGTGGTTGACTGTTGGCCGTGGATGTCTCAGTAAAGAACTGCTGCCCTGCCTCTGTGAGTACTCTGCCTCACATCTGTTGACCACTGGAAACTAGTCCTCATGTGACTGGTCAAGTCCAATCACGTTTATTTGTATAGAATGTTTCAGCAATAAGCAGTTCAAAGTGCTTTACATAGGAAAAACATCATACAGTAACCAATTATGAAAAATGCAATAAACATTACATTTTGTCGAAAGCCATAATCAAAATCATAAAACAAATGTACATCAGCATGTTGATTAATGTTCCATTAATTTTAAATCAAAAGCAGGTGGGTTTTAGCTTTGATTTAAAGGAACTCAGAGTTTCGGCTGGTTTGCAGTTTTCTGGAAGTTTGTTACAGATTAGAGAAATATAAAAACTGAATGCGGCTTCCATGTTTGGTTCTGGTTCTGTTGATGCAGAGCAGACCAGAACCAGATGATCAGACAGGTCTGGAAGACTGATACAACAACAGTAGATCTTTAATGTATTTTGACGCTGAGCTATTCAGTATTTTAAAATCAATTCCCTGAGCTACAGGGAGCCAGTGGAAGGACTGGGATGATGCGCTCTATCTTCCTGGTTTTACTGAGAGTGAGAGCAGGAGTAGAAGTCATGGATGGATGGCTGGTCCAGCCCGTCTCCAGGCCGGTTGTTACCTTCTGTGCTTTGTGCCATACAGGAGAGCCCAGAGCGTTGGCCATGAGCCCCTGAGAAGACAAGGCTCCTCCACCAACAGCCGCCCTCCTCAGCCTCTCTCTGCCCAGGCCATCAAACACATCTGGGTCCGCACGGCTCTTTTTGAGAAGGTTTTGGATAAAATAGTCCAGCACATTGTGGACAACTCCAGGTGATTCTTATGTTTTAAGTTGTTTTTTTCCTTACTTGCACTGCACTGACCCAACTGTTTTCTCCTGTTTTGTTGTTGCTGAAAACCAAGCAGTCCACTGCATGATGTGTGATTCTCAGAATTGAAAGCTTTATTCTGCTTTCTGTCAGGCTAACAACAGTGTGCTGGATGAGCTGTCCATACTATGTCATGCTCTAATCAGAGTGTCAGACCTGAAGTCTGTGATGTCAGACAGAACAATGTGATCGCATTTTAATTAAAAAAGCTTAGCCACGGTTCTTTGGTCTGATGTTTAATTCTTGATACCCCTGTTGAGAAGATGGAAACTTCACACAGCAGCAATATAGTTCATTTCATCTGACATGACGCCCACATTAAATGTCAGCTTCTGTGTTGCTCCCTCTGAAATAAAGAGCAAATGGAAGATGACTGTTACAGGTTGTGACCTCCCAAAAAAGACCTGCCTCAATGAAGCTGCAGTGAGCAGGATGAAGCAAAATAAAATGAGTGTGTTTTATGTAGCTTACAATACTCCTAAGAAGTTGAATTCAACACTTTAAAAGTTTCTATATTGGTCTTGATCATGTTAAAATAACACTTTTGAAAGTGTTATTTGTGAGAGTTGAAATTAGTTGAAATTTAACTCACATCAGTGTTGATTTACCTAACACTAGTTTTTTAGTGTCAAAAGTTAATGCTATGAATGTGTTAATTTGGCACAGAATAGTATTAAATATAGATCAACATAGAAATCTGAATTTTAAAATACTACTGGTAGGGTGTGCTGTGGTGGCGCAGGAGTTAAGCACAACTCACATATGGAGACCTTAGTTCTCAATGCAGCTGTTGCAGGTTCACTTCTGGGCCTTTGCTGCATGTTGTGCCCCTTCTCTCATTATCCATTTTCCTGTCAATGCAATGTCAAATAAAGGCCACAAGGGCTAATAAAACCTTTTTTTTCTGAAAATACCACTGGTAGTCAATAATCC